GTTCTTTTCAATTGATCAGAATCATTTTAGACATAGTGGCAAACGTAGTGAGAGCTAATGCCAACAATAATGAACTGCTCAGAGAAGCACTTGCATTGCAAAGATCGGTTGAACAGCAGTAGGTACCACCAATAGACGTTGTAGTCTGTGTGCAGTTAGTTGAAACACCACGATTTATTTCTGTTAGAAAGAGTATAACGAGAGAAGTTTTCTATAACGAAAGAAAAAGTAAATCTTTATCGTATTAGAGAAATATTAGTATCACTTACGTAACATGCAGCACCACTGTCTGTTGAATTTGTTGTCGCTGTACTACTGCTAACACTACTACAATCTGTACAATTGTAGCATAGAAGACCATTAGCAACTTGTAATAAGACTAAATTAGCAAAAGATTATTTTCTTATTCAGATCGATTATCCATTCTTCTATACTAACCTAAAAATATAATGCAACTAAAACCAATGGAATTAAGTGATAAAGCCATTTGAAGACGAAATAAGTTACTTGTTTGATTTGATTTTATATACTGATGAGAATAATTTTATGAGAATGCTTATATATATATATATATCAGGTTTTTTTCTTTGTGTACTTGCTTTGTTTTTTTAAAGATGTGTTAGACAAACAGAGAAAAAAATTAACTTGGTTACTTTCCATAAAATGTTTTTAATGCGTCTATGACGTATAGTTTCTATAGTCGTTGCTATTGTCATATCGGTGGATGTGCGCATTAAAATTTTTTTAATATTTAGTATGTATACTTTCTTCCGATCGTTGTTTCTTTACTTTCTTTTAGAATTTTATTTTGTAATGCGACATTAGTGTTTTCAATCAAAACATCTTGAGAGTGGATGTGGATATGATCTTTAAGTCCTACGTACACTCACATCCTGAACAATCGGTTATATGAAAAGTTGAAAGATTTTCATAATAGCTGTTTTATATTATGTATCATGTAGAATATTTTACGCAGTAAAATATGATTTGACATGAAATATAAATTATTTTTTTTGATTGTGTACTTGAGATATATTTGATATGATTAATAAACTATGGATGATTGGTACGTTATCGAATATATACTTCAAATATAAGAGTGTATAAATAACAATCTCGTTTATATTTTTTACGTACGATAAAAGTAATGTGCTATCTTTATGCTCACAATTCTCTACATACGTACATCTGAGTAAGTTTTCAAAATAATGACCATAAATAAGTTATACAATAGATGAAACTAGGAAGCTTGAAGTAATAAATGTATATTAAGCTATTCAAAAATATTTGTAGCAAACAAAACTTGTGTTTAAGTATAAGTAAAAACATTCCATTGCTATTTTAACTAACAGCTACTTCAATTAAAGAAAATTCTATAAACATTGATAATTGTTAGATTTAAAACAACTATCAATTATAAAAATACGAATGTACAAGATAAATTAATTTTAATATTTTACAGAATGTGAATAAATAGTAGTTTGCGTGATTTGTTCTGAATGTAGACAAACAAAATTGCGATAATTATGTTCGTTACTATCATGAAGAAAGATTTATTCTTCAAACAATAATTCGATTCTTCAGAAATACTGTATTTGAAGCTAACCTATTATGCTTTGTTGAAAATTACTAAATATATTATGTTTAGATTTTTGTAACACACCGAAATGCTAATAATTTTTAGTATGAATAAAGAAAAACTACCCTATAGGCTATCCTCACTCACTTTTGATTGATTTCAAATATTATGTCTTGAAAGACTACCCAAATAATACTATTTACCGCAACAAAACATCTTTTGTTGAGTTAAAAAATGGAATTCTTGTACAGATTTTTTTTCGAAAATTAAATTGTCGTTAGACATAACTGACTATCATCAATAAAATATATTTTACTGTTAAATCTAATTGCATGTTACTTTTTTTATTGGCAATCGAAAAAATCTTAGTTCTTATTTTATAATTCATTACAGACGAATAAGTTTGATTGAATTTTTTAAGTTCTAGAAAAATTTGGTAAAACTACTGTGTGTTAATTATTCGCGCTCTTACAATTCATAGGTATCATAAATTTTCTAGTTTTTTCAAAGACAATGTTACACATTCTATTTTAATGAGGATATATTATCTTGATGTTGGTTTTCTTCAAAATACAACTAATCTTTGAATATGTTGATGTTGGAACAATATTGTATGGTACTGAAGATATAGTTACATTCAATGAAAACAGTTTTTCTTTTCTGTTGTATATTTATTAACTTTGAATTCCTTCTCTGTAACAACATATTTTACTGTATCAAAAAGGATTATTATAATAATAGTATAATAATTATTACAAAACTGTCACAGATACAAAAGTATTCATCTTAATTATATTAACAATAGAACTACGATTCACTGACTTTCATAATTTATTTTTCTTTTCCAATAGTTCACAATGATATTAGTGAAATAAAATATGCGACGCGACAAATCAAGTTCCTTAAGACTAACCATGGAGTGTTCTTAGGCAAAAAAAACGTCAAAGAATTGTATCATATCAACATTCTGGTCATTTTTTAATTTTATTAAAAATTGAATAAAATAATTAATCATCAATCTGAATCTTAGTCAGAAGCATTATATTAATTTTGCGAAAAACAGAATCTTTTATCTTTCATCTTCAAACGATGTTGTAGTTCGATCGAAATTTTGTTGTTGTAAAGTCTCAATTCCTTGAGTATCTGAAGTATAACAATCAACATAAGTCAATGTCAAATGGCTAAGAAAAGTTCGTTACTTTGTTTTTTTCCAAAGCTACAGCCAATTGTTGTGCTCCAGTATCTGCAATTTGATGCGATTTAAGACTAAGTATAATAAGTGTCTAAATAAAAAAATAAACATCTATAAACATAAAATAAATTAATAAAATAAATGACTCGATTGTTTTTTAAAGCATCCGCTAAAAAATGTGCCCCAATATCACTGATTGTATTTAGTTTATTATTATCAACATAACAAAACTGAGAATCCAGTAATAGTGTAGTGAGTGTCTACATGTTAAATAATGAAGATATATATAAAACTGAAAATAATTCAATACTTTGTTGTTTTCTAAAGCATCAGCAAGATATTTAGCCCCAATGTCTCCAATTTGATTTCCTGAAAGATCAATCGAAGTGATTGTCTATTCAAAACAGAATGATAATTACTGATCAAATGAATCAAAAATATTTTTTACCGTATTGTTTCGCAACATATCAACTAAATATTGTATTCCAATGTCACTTATTTTATTTTGCCCAAGGTTCAATTCAGTGATTGTCTATATCACAAGGGGGAAAATAATCGTTAGGATAAATGAATCTAGAATAAATATTACTTGATTCGTTTGTAATGCATCACTTAAATGTTTTGTACCAATATCTCCGATTTTATTCACGGAAAGATCCAACTCAGTGATTGTCTATAGCACAATGAAACTGTGAACATCAGCGGGAAAAATGGAGAAATGATATTACTTCATTATTGACTAGTGCATCAGCCAAAAATTTCGTCCCAATGTCATCAATACTCTTCCCACAGAGATCCATTTTCGTGATTGCCTTCAGAAAAAGGTAAAAATTTGTGAGAAGAACTCTAGAAGAAACGAATTACTTTATCATTTCGTATTTCACTTGCTGCAGTCACAATTGTACAATAGCTACCAGGATTTCCTTTGAGGTTCAATTTGATAAGTGTCTATGCGAAATAATGGCGATACTTAAGGCAAATGAAAAGTGTTGAAGGCTTACTTTGTTCTCTTTGAAGGCATCATAAAGATATTGTGCTCCACTATTTCCGATTTGATTGTAGTAGAGTTCGACGATGGTGAGTACCTGTGAACGAAAAGTAAAAATTAGTATGATATCAAATGTGAGTCAGATATTACTTTGTTGTTTTTTAATGCATCAGCTAAATATTGTATTCCAATATCACTTATTTTATTTTGCCCAAGGTTCAACTCAGTGATTGTCTATGTCACAAGGAAAACAAAAATCATTAGGACGAATAAACCTAGAATAAATATCACTTGATTCGTTTGTAATACATCGCTTAAATATTTTGTTCCAATATCTCCAATTTTATTCATCGAAAATTTTAGTATTGTTAATGTCTGTGAAAAAAGATGAAGTTCACTATGACGAAAGTTAATACAAGTTATTAAGCACTTTATTGTTTTGTAATGCATCAGATAAATGTTTTATTCCAATATCTCCGATTTTATTCTGAGAAAGATCCAACTCAGTGATTGTCTATAGCACAATGAAACTGTGAACATCAGCGGAAAAAATAGAGAAATGATATTACTTCATTATTGACTAGTGCATCAGCCAAAAATT